AGAGAGACAGCCTGGTGTTGATGCTACTACCGCAGAGACCACTGTTGCTGCTGCTGCTGATACTGGTGCTATGGATGAGGACAGGGGTATTGATCCTGAGTACAACCCATTGCCTACTGCTGATCCAGGCTCATATTTGGTGTTTAGTGATGATGAAGAGTCTACTGACTAGACTTCTCATTTTGTTTTTATACATTTTCTGTTTTTATGGTTTTATTTTGGATATTTTTAGTTGCTTGTGGTATTATTTTCATTTTGTATATTTGTTAGTACATTGAGATTCTCTGTTTGAATGATGCACTTTTGAAATAGTACTGATGCTATTTGTTGATATGTGAATGTGTTTCAGAATTTGTCAACTGCTTTTTAGATTTAAATTAGTTGCTGGGGACAGCAACGTTTAAATCTGGGAATGGGATGTGAATGAATGACATGATTATGGTGGTATCACACAGTTGATGATGACACACAGTTGATGAGCCACAAACAGGGAAACATCTCAATCCTTTCTTTTAAATTCTTGTGAATATAGTTTTAGGTAGTTTAGAAAGTGTTTTATATGTACAAAGGTTGGATTTAGAGTTGAGATGATGTGAATTTTATGAGAATAGGATGATCAAAGTTTTACATGATGGATTAAACATTTTTGATGCAATTTGAAATCCTTGCATATGTGCTAAATGATATGTTTGCATGACTCGTGTTATGTGAGGAGTAGAGAGATCAGGTTGATGTATATAGAGGAATTCAAGCATGCACTCTGAACTGTGAGACATTGAGCCTATACAGAAATTTTTTTGTTCAAAGAGCACTTCACTGTATGAGTAACTCTAGAACTTGCCCTGTTTCTAACTTGAAATAGTTCATGGTTTGTAAAGTAGAGCTCATTGAGGCATTTTTCTTTTGAACCAAATTTTCTTATTGCATGGAAGCCTTAAGCCAAAAATTTTGTGATAAAACTAAGAGCCCTGCACTTATTCCAGATCCTAAAATTTCAGATTATGTGTTCAGATAAGGGGTAAGGAGGAAAGCTCTGTAGGAGAAAGGTGTTTCTGCAATGAACAAAAATATTAAGTGTTAAGTGTTGGAAATTTGGAGAAAAAGAAGAATGCAATAAAAAAAAAGGGAAATGAGGAAGTAAAGGCACAAAGTGCTTGGTTTGGAAAAGGAAAAGAAAAAGGAAATGAGGAAAAAGGGAAATCAAAACAACACAAAGTGTTGAAAGTTGGAAGAAAAGGAGGAAGGAAGTTCAAGAAAAAGAAAAGTTGTAGAAAAGGTGGTGAAAAGAGCAAATGAAAAGGAAGAAGAGAATGAGAAGGATTAAGGAGTACATAGATAAATTCAATAGTGATCCTCCTCTTATCTGAATCTGATCCATTTATCTAACCTTCTGCAACATCAAATCCTACCTTTAGCCAACTACATGTCAAGTCATTTTTCCTTCTTCTATACAGAATCCTATTCTTAGTCAAGTCATACCACCAAAGCCTCTTTTGTTCTGCTTATGAATCACTGTAACTATGGAAAGTGAGAAGATGGGCAAGCTTATAGTAGTTTGAGTGCAGTGGAGATTGAGTGATGAGTACACCCTTAGACACTAGAGTGCAAGAGAGTTTATTCTCACAATTTTTGAGAAGTTCCAAGTGAGGGGGTGTTTTGTGTTGAAGGTCTCTGCATTTTATCTTACTGATCTGTTGAAAGTCATTGTAATGAGGTTAAGCAAGTCATAGTAAAAGATAGATTGCTAGGTTGTTAGATTGTATCTTGGAACGTTGATCTGTCATATTTCAATCCAACCTCATAAATTTAATGTGTAAAGAATCTCAAGTCTTTCTCTGTCTTTAAAGTTATTTCTGAGGACATCAATATTCAAATCTGGGAATTGTGATGAACCCTTAGTTCATCATGGTTTTTAGCAGGAATTAGGATCAAATTGTGTGATTAAATGATGAAAAACAAGGTTAATGTCCTAAGATGTCCTCAATTACAAGTTCAAGAGCTTTATTGGAAATTTGTATGATTCTTGTAGGAAAAGCAAGCTTGAAAGACAACTGGAGAAGGAAGAAGATTCTGGAGCTCAAGAGGAGAAAAATTTCCTAAGTGTTGAGCACTAAAACGTCCACACTGAGCGTTTTAGCGCCCTGTTACAGGAAGAGGCCAAAACTTGCTGGTGTTGAGCGCTAAAACGTCCACACTGAGCGTTTTAGCGCCCTGTTACAGGAAGAGGCCAAAACTTGCTGGTGATGAGCGCTAAAACGTCCACACAGAGCGTTTTAGTGCGTTGCTACACTAAGAAGATGGAAAATTGCTGGTCTTGGGCGCTAAAACGGCCTGCAATATGCGTTTTAGCGCCCTAAAGTGGAAAAAGATTCTGGTCTTCACCGTTAAAACGTCCAAATCAAACGTTTTAGCGTTGGAGTCAGTTAAAGTTAGTTGAGCATTCACCAAGTTTGGACGCTAAAACGGTCATTCCTTAACGTTTTAGCGTTGAAATCAGTTAAAAGCAGTTGAGCATACGTAAAGCATGGACGCTAAACGGCCACTTATGGATGTTTTAGCGCCCACATCAGTTTTCTGTTTTTAATTGTAACACTATATAAGGCAAAGCCCTTACACTTAGATCAGAATCTGGGGGATCTGAACTCTCTCTCTCTCTTAAACTTAGTCTGACTTCTCTCTAAATTCTCTTAGTTTTTGTATTAGGATTTCCTTGTAATAGTTTGGAGATTGAAGACTTTCAACATGGAAATGAAGTTTGTTTCTTCTTCTCTTATTTATTCCTTAGTCATGTCTGAGTAGAGTCTTTGTAGTCCGAATGCAATGGAACTCCATGATAATATTATGTTGATTTGATTAATATGATGAAGTATTTTTCATGTGCTGATTTGAGATTTTCTGAGTTAATTATTTCTATCAAAGAAGTAGTATAGAACAGGGATGTTTATATGACTTCTGTATTTGATAATCTCAACATCAGAATTCTAGTACTCAAGGGATTGATGCTAGAATTCTGATGTAATCTTAAAACCTTAGTATTTCATGCATGTATTAAGAATGAGATCACCAAGGGATTGGGGTTTCTGATTAATGTATCTATCAGGGTAGTAAGGGATTACATCTTGATGATAAGTAAAAGGTTGATTAACATCACATGGAAAGGAATTCATCATATGATCAATTTTTATATGGGTTATCATGGAGGAAAGTTGTTTTCTGACTACTTGTTGTTTTTATTAATTCCTAATCCATATTTACTTTGTGTCAAATTACTTAAAATCAATTTTCTGGTGACAAATTATTCATGATTTTTACAAACTCTTATTTGATTCAAATTAGTTTTCTATGGTATATTGGTGTTTGAACACAATTCCTCGTGGGAACGATCTTTACTCATCATTTTATTACTTGTACGACTAGTGCACTTGCTAAACGTCCAACAAATTCCCTTTCCCCCTTGATTGATAACATTTTAATGTTTGATAAATGATGTTGTTTCCTATTATTGTCTGCATGTTGTTTCAGGTTACTTTTCTTTGAGCATTTGTTCAACAGTTTCTCTTATTTGCCCTATCCCTAACCTCACCATTGAGTAGATTCAAAAGGTGAAAACTTTTTCTAAAACCCATTTCTCTACTTGATTACCCATTTCATATTACATTGTTTAAGGTTCTAGAATTATATCTATCAGTATTGATAGCTGAAATGAAAAAGGCTTCACGAAGTAGGGGTGTATTGAGAGAAGACTTCGATCCTGTAAGACTGTCTTAATTTCCAATATCATTTTTATAGCTAGAATTGTTATCTTTATACTTGCAATATTTCTGAAGTTATTATTGATGTCATGTGGGAAATTTTTGACTCAGTTCCAACTTGCGGGCACTGCTTTGTATCTTCTTGGTTAGAGTTATTAGACTATTCAACTATTTTTTTATTTGGCTTCCCTGAATCTACTTCTTACAATATAACCATAACTGCTTGGTCTGAGTCTTGTTTGCAGAGGTAGTTCTTAAATTATTTATGCTACATATCAATTTCATCTTTTTACCTTCTTAAGCTTTTTGCTTCCCTCTTAGTGTCCAATATGTATATTTATAACAAGATGTAATAGATTTTATCAAAAAAATCACTTTATAATTTGACACCATGCAAGTACACACCCCGTGTATGAAACTCAATCTCCCACCCATCCCCGCTTCCATCAAATAAATGCTACTACATAAACAAATCATGTTATACTGCAATATAACTTAATAGTTAACAAGTAATCAAAATTATTATTGTATAAGTGTCAAAATGGAATTTATCCCATGATGCCTTGTATCGAAAAGTATTTTTTTTCTTTTTGCAGAATAACTAAAATAGTTACCAAGTAATAATTTATGTAAATATTGTCAAAAGTGAACATTTTCTTTCCTCCAATTTATTTGTGAAATATATTAAGTTGTTGAAAAAAAGTTCAAAAAGATTTTATTTTTAGGATATCATTTTGTTTTGAAGAGGTGACGATAGGGATTCTAGAAATGGAGAATGAACTGGTTACATTTTGTTTTCTTATTCATCTTTTTCCCATTCTCATTTTTCATTCACACTAATCTTCATTTTTGTTCTATATACTTATTATAAAAATGAAGATAGTATAGATGATGCTCTGCTTTTGTGATATTTAAGTTTCTAGAAATAAGTTCATAATTAAAATGTTTTTAATAATTAATCAGGACAAGCCCGAAATGTCTTCAAACTATATTAACAATTCGTTGTATTTGTTCTCTAAATAGGCTTTTTTGATTAAGCTTCTGCCATGGGCCTTTGAAGCATTTTCTTTGTACTTCTTCTTTCTCTTTCATACCATAATGTTATGTATTTTCCTAGTAATATAGACATGTTCTTTCTCTTTGCTTAAGCTATTGCCCTTCTTTCTCCTTGAAGCATATTATTATACTACATTATGTTATGTGTCTAATATTATATTATGTTATGTCATGTTGTTATAGGGTAGAAGAATGGACTCTAATCCAAGTGGAAGTGATGGGGTTAGGGTACCAAGTGACTCCAATCAAGTTCAAGTAAGAGATGAACAAGTAAGAGATGGTGGAGAATCAATGACAGCAAAAAAGAAGAGGAAAACATCACTTGTTTGGAATGACTTTCATGAAGTTGAACTCCCTGAGGGTGGGCGAAAAGCAGTTTGCAACTATTGCAAATGTAGATTTGCTATTGGTGGGAATGGAGGTAGCACTAGCCATTTGAGGAGGCATTCACAAAATTGCTTGCAATGGAAATTAAACCAAGCACGACATAAGCAATCCACTCTAGCGTTTCAATTGACAAATTCTTCCTTGAACCCTTTCCTTACACCCGGAGGTAAGTATTCTAATGAAAAGATGAGAGAAATTATTGCTACTGCTATTATGGTTCATGAGTATCCTTTTAGCATTGTGGATGATACAATTTGGATGTGGGGCTTTAAGTTTGCTAACAATGAATTTGACAAAGTCTCGCGTCAGACAACAAAAAATGATTGCATGAAAATGTATGAGGTAGAAAAAAAAATTCTTAAGGCTTTACTGATAAGTGTGAATAGGATCAGTTTAACCACTGATATGTGGAGATCTAGTCACCAAGTAGCTGAATATATGGTCATCACTTGTCACTTTGTTGATTCAGAATGGAATTTACAAAAAAGAGTTTTGAGTTTTGTTAAAGTGCCACCTCCAAGGCATGAAGTTGATGTTTCTGATGCAATTTTTAAATGTTTGCAATTATGGGGTATTGAAAGTAAAGTATTTTCAGTGTCGGTTGATAATTCTGCTACGCGCAAGGCAAGGCGTTCTCTGCTGTTGTTATGTGGAAATTTCAACATTTTGTTTTCCAGATGGTCCCAAAGTGAGAATGGAAAATCTGCAGTAAGAGCTCTGAATTTGGTTGGATGCAAATGGTTGAGCCTATGATGAAACTATATACAGAGGCAACTGATGGTTCTGGCATTGAAATTTGGAAAGAAGGAAAGTGCTTTGTTCTGGCAATTCTGGGATGCAGACCTTGGTTTTGGATCATCCAAGCAAAGAAAATGTTAGATCATCTAGGAAGTGTTTTAGGTCTGAGCCTGTTGTCGTGAAGTTGACCATTTCACTGTTGAAGTGAATCCCCAGTATATACTTAAAGAGCTTCAATTCAGTATTTGTTAAATTTTGTAAATGATTGTTTGAAAGGAGAATGGGAATAACCTTGAATTTTCAATCTATTAGTGTGAAAATTTCGTTTGTAAAATATAATGCAGAATTTGAATTTCTTGTTTTATGAATTACTCTTAAAAGGGGAATAAACATCAAGTTTTAAAATTTTGTTTTATTTTCCTTGCATTATATCTGATCCTTATGCTTTGTTTTTCTGGTTGGAAATGAGAAAGCTATTGCGGACAGTCAGCGGTGATAACGACTCCCTTCTTGGTTTGGTTTCTGAAGGGGATATGTGTCTGATAACATATTGCCTAAATAAGCAGAGTTTTTTTGACGTTCAGTTTTAACAAGCCTCATAGTTTCCTGTTGCATAAAATGTGGAGATATGAATTTTTTTTTTATTTTTTATTTTGATAAACTTTGAATGTAAAAGTTGTTTTACTATTATTTAATTATTTACTTATAAATCATTAACATAGTGTGACTTTTAAGGCGATTGCGTGTGGGTTAGATTTTGAAAAAAATTGTACATAATGAACCAAAATTAAACTATTTTTTTAATATTAATATTCCATGTCAATGAGAGCAAGCTTACGTAAAATATAGTTTTTTTTATGTTTTAACTCCATTAATTTAGAAGGCATTCATAAGTGAATTAATGAAAATTCAAGTTTTAGTATAAAGCTATTAGGATTAGTGTAATAATAATGGTTTAAGTAGTTTATATAAGATCATATGTTGAAACATTAGTGCCACCATTGTACTGTATCCAATAGAAAGTTTTAATATAACATGCTTGCACTTAGTTGCTACTTCTCTCTTCACAGGATCTTTCCTGTTTGAAAAGAATGGATTTGAGCAACTCCAAATATCTTATTGAAACTCGAATGTTTGAAGGAATCTCACAACTTGAGCATCTAGATCTTACAGGATTTACAAACCTATGCCACGTTCATCCATCAATTGGACTTCTTACAAATCTTGCTTTCTTGAGTTTGTGAAATTGTAGCAGTTTGGTCACCCTCGACTCTGGTAGTTTATGTTAGGAAAATACTTCAAGACTGAAACAGCCCCACGTTCTGATTGTTATTTTATTTGTTGTTGCTTTCCTAGTCTTAAGGTGTCAGTTTAGGAAGTTTTAAGTGCTTTGTTATCTTTGTTTATTTGCATGGAATATTTCTAGGAACATGCTGTTACTGGGTAGTTATCTTTAAGCTCCATAAATTGTAACGTTAAGCTCTACAAATTGTAACGTTTCTGGTTTTAAATAAAAGATAAGTTTTTTGTCTTCTCCTTAAATATATGTTTCTGTTCTCTGTCAAGAAAAACTATTGTTTTTATTTTCTCTTGAAAATTTCCAACAATTGGTATCAAGAGCCCTTTTCTTACGGGACCTATAGAATGGATTCTGAAACAAGTTTTTTCCCAAGCAGCTCTTCCAGTTTTCAATGGGGGAAACTATGATCTTTGGGCCATCAAAATGGAGGCTTACCTAGAGGCTTTGGATCTTTGGGAAGCTGTAGAAGAGGATTATGAAGTCCTCCCTCTGCCGAACAATCCCACCATGGCCCAGATTAAGAATCATAAGGAGAGAAAAAACTGAAAAGCAAAGGCAAAATCATGCTTTTTTGCTGGTATCTCTACAACCATCTTTACTAGGGTCATGACTCTCAAATCGGCAAAAACAATTTGGGACTATCTAAAGGCAGAATATGCTGGAGATGAAAGAATTCGAAGCATGCAGGTGCTTAACTTAATGAGGGAATTTGAGATTCAAAGGATGAAAGAGTTTGACACAATCAAGGAATACTCAGACACATTGTTGGGCAATGCCAACAAGATAAAGTTACTGGGCGATAATTTTGTAGATTCCAGAACTGTTGAGAAAATTCTGGTAACAGTGCCAGAGAGGTACGAAACATCTATTGCTTCGTTGGAGAACACAAAAGATTTGTCTAAAATTATTTTTGCAGAAGTGCTACATGCTCTCCAAGCCCAAGAGCAGCGAAGATTAATGAGGGAATATCTTGCTGTTGAAGGTGCTCTTCTAGCCAAGAGCCAACAAGCTAAAAACTACAAGAAGAATCATCCAGGCAGCAGTCAGAGTAGTGCAACTAATTACAACAAAGGAAAGGGTGAAAAGAAAAGTTACCCACCTTGTCAGCATTGTGGCAAAATGGGTCACCCTCCATTCAGATGTTGGCAGAGACCTGATGCTAAATGCATCACGTGCAATCAAATGGGGCATGAAGCAGTCATATGCAAGATTAAAAATCAGCAGCAAGAGGAAGAAGCTAAGGTTGCTGATCAAGAGGAGGAGGAGGAGGAGGATTGACAGTGGCAATGTGTTTGCAAGCAGCGAAGAGAGTGAGAGTTGGCTGATTGACAGTGGTTGCACAAAACATATGACCAATGACCGAGAGCTTTTCAAAAATTTAAAGCCAACCAACATCACCAAAGTCAGAGTAGGCAATGGTGATTATATTTCAGTCAAAGGAAAGGGGACTGTTGCAATAACAAGTTGCTCAGGTACAAAGTTTATTCCTAATATCCTTTTTGTACCCGAAATTCAACAAAATCTATTGAGTGTTGGCCAATTGATTGAAAGAGGCTTCAAAGTTGCTTTTGAAGATAATTTTTGTCTGATTAGAGATGCAACTAGTCAGGATGTCTTTAAAGTAAAAATGAAAGGGAAAAGTTTTTCTCTAAATCCATTGGAAGAAGAGCAAGCTGCTTTTCCGATCAAAGAAAACATCACAGAAGTTTGGCACAAAAGGCTCAGGCATTATCACCACCAAGGGTTGCTGCAAATGAAGTTCAAGAGAATGGCAGCTGATTTTCCAGAACTTGATGATCACATACCAACATGCAAGGCTTGTCTATTTGGAAAGCAAAAAAGGAAGCTATTTCCGAGGTCAGCAAAAAGAGCCACTTGTAAGCTACAGTTAGTCCACACAGATATATCTGGACCTCAAAAAACTCCTTCATTAGCAGGTAATCGATATTATGCTGCCTTTATTGATGATTTCACAAGAATGTGTTGGATTTTTTTCTTAAAATTCAAGTCAGAAGTGGCTGGAGCATTTTGGAAGTTCAAAAAATTAGTAGAAAATCAAAGTGGCAAGCAAATTCAGATTGTAAGATCTGATAATGGCAAGGAGTACACCTCAAAAAAATTCAATCAATTTTGTGAGGAAGCTGGCATTGAGCATCAGTTAACCACTCCCTACACTCCACAACAGAATAGGGTGAGTGAAAGGAGAAACAAATGCATCCTAGAAATGACTAGATGCATGTTGCATGAAAAAATCTACCCAAGAAGTTTTGGGCAGAGGCAGCTCATACGGCTGTTTTCTTGCAAAATAGACTCCTCTCAAAAGCAGTCAAGGATCAGACACCATATGAGGCTTGGTATGGTTATAAACCATCTTTAAATTTTCTCAAAATATTTGGATGTTTGTGTTTTACTTGTAACAGCCCGTTGTACACCGGTATTGTTAACATTAATTATGATATTAAGCGCAGTTACAATCACAACAATTCATTTATAAAAATGCGAATAAACTTTTTTCGATTATTACGCGAGCATTTAAAACATAAAAAACGTAATAATTAAAAGTTGTGACCGTAACCATAAACTCTTGCGGAAGACTTATTTAAACTATTTGTATAACTTACTTTACTTATTATAAGTTACTAAGGAGTTCCCATAAACTCACTTAGCCAATTTCCAACTTTACGTTTTATACCAATTTGAACATGTTTCACTCTAAGTTTTTTTGCAACCAAACCGCTCGCTATCACACTCTTTTCTCCGAGTATATCTTTGTCTTACTTAATTCCCTTTTTAATAAGCTATCATATGCTAAATTCGGAGCTCATTAGCTCCGGTTATCGCCGTTTGAAGTTGGATCAGCAAATAGCCAAACAACCCCAAAAACAGCTCCAAACCACCCACCTTACTCGATTTAATGCACTCAATCCATTCAACAATTTGCTCTCAAATTTTTATCCTACAAACTAGACATCTCAAACTTCATTTTGATATATCACACGCTTAATTTGACTGAGAAACGAAGCAGGAATTAATTTCCCAAATCCGGTCCAGAATCTGCCTCAGGTGCAGGGGCACATGAGCAGTCCGTGTTTCTCTATTTTTTTCAGGCCGAAGATCAACCCAGAATTTCCTCAAATTTTTACACAAGGTAGAGGATATCTCAACCTTCAAAATGGCGTATGACACGTCCCTATTGGACCTCTATGGAGGGAGATATGCTCTCCCGAAGTTCGCCTAAAATCTGTCAATTCTACAAAAAATTCGCCAGAGTTTCATTTATTTTTCCAATAATCCCAAATTTGTAAAAATCATTTAAACCTCAAATGTACCTAATAAACACATGATAATACAGTAATAATCCAATGGGTGGCACACACAAGGACCAACAACGCCTTGGGGCACTTACAACCCAATCCAGTTTATAGTTATTACACAGTTTATACAATAGAGCTCACATTGTATTTCTTACTTGTTTCAATCACATAGGTCTCATTCACATGTAGTTTCACAATATAATAATGTAATCATAACTCTAACATAGGCCTAAAATCCTTCCATCTTGGTACATCATGCCTCTCTTACATTTACAACATACACTTAAATATTACAACTTACGACTTTAACTTCAAATTTCCTTTTACAATATTACAACACCAATTACAAATTTAGACATAAATTTAAATGATACAAACTGCTAGACCTAGGCATGCCAACA